CATCTGTTCTGCTGAGACACGTGATCCGACACGAATCGAGGCGATTCAGCAATGATAAGCAGCATTTTATTTCGAAACAAAGTTGTTTGCACATTTTTACTTATCGAAATTCAATTGAGTTAATGATCGCATCTGTACGTCCCTTTCTCTCTGCCGGAACACCGTCGACATTCTGGCAGCTGTACCGTATATAAGGGACCGACGTCCCTTATATCCCTCGTGCTGGTGCTGGTACATATGCGTGTACGTACAGGTGGAAGGCATGATCATGAGGCTTCTGCTTCGCTTTTCCTTCCTTCTCTCGCCGACTCTGCCTTTGTTACGATTTTTTTATACGCTTCTCAGCGACACAAGCTCAGAATCTGTAACTCTAATTGTCCTTTTAAGTAATATTCCGTAAAAGTAAGCCTCGCGTTTCGTAATTCTTGGCAAAATTATAATTTGACAATTCTACAATACTTTTTTCTATTTGTTTCAGCAGTATTAGTCGCAATGATTAGTCGATTATTCGAGTAAAGACTGTTTAAAATCGCGCCGTATGGCACAATGTAGGCTAATTTAACACTTTTTGCCATCCACCCCATGTTAGGCATATGCTATAAGGATAACATCGAAAATGATCCGAAACAAGTACATGAGAGGAAAAGAGAGAAAGAACGAAAGAGAGAAGAAGAAAGCAAGACGAGCTCTCCTAAGCTCCCGGCACTCGCTGCCCGGCTGTCGGCGATCACCTGTTGATTTTCTCCAAATCAAAATAATCACGATTGCCACATTTCCTCATATTCTATTCCAATTTTTGTCGAGGAAGCATAAATATCGCGACAGGAAGTGGGGAAAGCGTGTTGTGATCATGAGATAAAATTTAACGTTTTTGTCATTTATCTTAATAGAAAGGCTTGTGTCCTGTTTTTTTTTTCTTTATAAATACTTCTTCTAAGAATTTTTTATAAGAATTGTGTGCCATATGGCTATAATGTGGAATAGTTATTGATAACATTAATCTTTCGCGTCACTTTTTATTAAAATAGGTAATACATCTTTGTAAGTTTTATATTGTCCTCTTACATTGTCCTGGCCCTTTATGTTTTAGAATCGTGAAAGTCGTGACTAATTATATTTCAGAGTTAATACCGTTCTCACAATAATTTTGTCCATAATATTTTGTCCCCCCGTGAAGAGCGTTGATTTCCGCAGCGATTTAGCTTAATAGCTTCCAGATTCCATTGTAACTACTAGTGGAACCCCCATAACCGTGGCGAACCGCGAGGGTGCAGCGGGGTATAGCGAGGGCAGGACACTCTCAGGTAGATCCTGATTTATGAACGAAATCTCGAGTAAACGCTCGTTTCCGCGCTCTGCCGGGCGTGAAATGACTTTGGGTGAGTTCTCACTGCACTGGCGGGGTATCCGCGACACGACAGTCAAGCTGACTATGCGTGCACTTCCGGTCTCAGTGGACTGGAAGTGTCGGCTTTCACTGTTCGATAACGATTCATTATACCATTTGACGATCTTCGTATTCTTCACCAACACATTTCTTGGTTATAGAAAATTATAACTCTAAAAAATTATAAAGTAGTATGTGTGTGTGTGTGTGAGATTATATAATATAACGTGTAACATAAAATTTAAAGGAAACAAAATAGAAATAATGTAGAGATTGTCCTTCGTTATTCTTTCCGAGCGTATGAATTATTATAGAAGTTATGTAAAAAAATTATCTTGTAGCGGTGCGTGATATCAAAACTAATACCGCCTAATATTACACTACCAGTGTAATAAGGCATTAGTTTTGGTTGGACGACGCAGCCGGAAGCTTGATTCCGTCACAATCAATGACATTTACATTCTCTCGAGATTGCCGTCATAGGCGTGGCTCCAAAAACATCAGAATCAAAAATTCACGCCGGCTTTTTATTCAAAAGCAGAGATCTGAAATTACGCTTGAATTATTCGCGAGAACTTTTAATAGCTTCCTGCTATGTTTTATTTCGCCTTTGACTGAACAACGTAACCTTTGGATAAAGGTATATCGTGATTGTTGTAGAAACGAATTTAAATTTATACAGCGCCTACTAGTTATCCGATAATGAATTTTGATGAATGTGCAATTATTTTTGAAGAATATGAATTTGTCATATTTTTATCCGTGTTTCATCTTCTTTTTTGTACGCCTGTTTTCATCGTGGTCGTCCACGCTTATGTAAAGATAACAGCAAACCATTTACCAAGACGAGGTCGAGGGTCACCTTATAAATTAAGCTTTTATTGCAACCGGCTTAGTCGCTGCCACAGACGAAAAGTCTTTTATTTGTTCGATAGGAGTTCCTCTTCTTTTTAACCAGTCTTCGATTGAACAAAAAAAAAAAAGAAAGCGGGACGTCTTAGGACGCAGAAAGAAGATATCATGAGAAGTTCAAAGAATCAGGGAAAGAAAAAGAGAGATAAAGAGAAAGCGAAAGATAGAGAGAGAAAGAAGAGAATCGTTTTATCTGCTCCTCCATGAATTTTGCTAATTAACCTCGCCACAGGCATCGCTTTATTTTTATTGCAGAGAAGAGATTAGCTCATTGCTCTCTCGACAAGAACTTTTTTAAGTTCCTCTTTCCATGTTACACTTTTTTTTCACACTTATCTAACGAGATTAGCACTGATTAATCGTTACTTATCGCGATTAATCCGCTGAATCGTTCGGTTAAAACAACACATTTCGTAATATCTAATTTTGTTCCTCCAGTTTTATCGGTATGTCTGATTACACCTCCGATTGCACCGTGTCGCAGCTGTGCAAAGGGAGATTCTGTTCCTTGAATATTTCGTTGCGATCGTCAAATGAAGTTACATCCCCGATTTACGCATTCTCCTCGGCGGGAGTCGTATACTGCGTTTATAATTTGAATTTATCGCGTTCCTGCTGATATCGGGCATAGACAGTCGGGTCAGCTACTCTCCTCTTCCTCCACCGCCGAGGAGACGTAGTATGTTCGCGACACTCACACGCAGATCCAAGCGCGTACAGCTGTGTACGAAATTAATGGCATTATCGGCAACTTATTTACAATGCTTACCAATAACGCGGCACCGATAATTAGTGGATACCGCGATAGAAACTGTGGAAGAAGAAATAAAAAAAACAGGACGTGATAAAATATAACGCGCGATACGGCGACGAATAGTGGGGCTCTTACGTAGGCAAAAATGAGCACGACGGAAGTGTTTTATGCGCTCCAATCAATCCATGTTCCTTTGATGTATATTTCTCGTGCAATTAGACGAATAAATTGTTTCTGAGAACGTCACGCGCTTTGCAAACAAGTCCATCACAGCGGAGAATAATATTACTGAAGCGTTCTTGCTGCTGTGTAAAGAAAAATTATACCGATTACGGACTATTATCTTGACGCAAGTTGTATCGCGCGACACTGTTATAATTATATCTTATTTTGCGGAAAAATTTATTCTTTGGCAGCATTTGAAATGCAATATCAGATTTATCAAATTAATTCTCGGCGTGTCTTGATATAGAAATAGATCCGGTTTTTCCGCAGCTGTTGTGTTTTGATCTTATGTCATTATATTACAGTTCGTAATCGCGTCGCTTTTCCTGCCGTGACTCCACTGCGGATTAGAGATCGCGTCAGGTGTGTCGGCACGATGCGGTTTCTAGTCGCATCGGGATTTAACGACCGGTATAATTGACGTCACGCTGCACGCACGGGTGTCTAAGTGGTCGGAACGACAGACGGGTGGATTTTATCGCAATGAAAGGGGCGAGGGGAATGGATTTTTCGCCGGGAAAACTTCTCGTGTGGTTCAAAGGTCCAACTGATAAAGTGCTTGCTTGGCTGACATCTATAGTTAAGAGATTAACAATGCGCCTCGTTTATTTACATTTAAAATGGGCGCGTGTCTCGGCGTACGGATATTTTTGCACACTATCGCTATTTTCCTTCACGAAAAAGGAAGAGAACATCTTGGTATCGCGCGGCGCAGACATGATCGATAGTCGTGCTTTATATAATATTACTAACAATGTTTATAATAGAAGTGCATCGCCATGCTGCACATTAATTAATCATTAAATGCGTGATTCATAATGCAGCACTGTTTAAATAATTTATCAAGCATCTGAAAATGAGAGCAATTATATACTGATATAATTTATATCTTTTGCGATTTATTTTTTGTCATATTAGATATGTTACGTGCAGCTTTTGCTGTAAATACGTGGAAAATTTTATCAAAATAATTTATAAATAACTTTTTTGCTTATTCTGTATTTATATATTTTTCATATATGCTTTATCAGAACATTTATTTAGTTTAAATACATATAAATATGCGTACTGCAGATATCGAAGAAACATATTTGAGCTATAGTTGGTACAACTTACCGATAACTAGTAAACTGTATAGTGTTGTTGCTTTCAGAAACTAATTCGTAATGATATGTTACAAAGTTGATAAGTATGACGAATTTTTTTATCAACATAATTAATTAATTAATTTTTTTTAATAAGGAAAAAGTGAAAGTATTCATTGATATCAATATATTGCTACAGATTTGTAGTCGATGGTAAAATATTCAGGTCTAAAGCAAGTGAGTTCTGTGAGCTCGACGAAAGATAAGTGTAGGCATCGACATGAACAATCGTCGGTAGTTTGTGGAGAATCTTATAGCGATTTCGGCTGATCTGCACCAACTGCACATTTCGGGTGTTGGTGCAAATTGTGTGTTCGGCTGGTCGAATAATGCAGGTCCCTCGCTGGTGCCGCGTGTTCGTCTGGGCTCAGTACAAGTGTATATTGGGTGTACATAAAGTGGCTCTCACAAATTAGTAGGAGCCAGTTGGTGTAATTGGTAACATTGGTGGCGATTCACTGTACACACTTGCACCAACTTTACACAGGTGGCACACCGATGCAGACCAATTGAAATCGCTATTATATTCGATAATATTATGATATTACAATACCACATTGTCATGTGTTTAAATTTGTGCAAACATCATCTTCCTTGAGATGTATATAAACTTGTACTGTTTCGTCAAGCCGTATTAGAATTTCTCTCATCAGACAGTTTAATAAATTTTCCAAACCAATTTTCATATAAATCGTGTTTAGTAACGTTATAGATTCAATTTATACATACTTTTAACACGCAAAATTGAATTATTCTATCACTGGACATGGATAAGAATAATAACTCTATCAGTACAGGTATTTTTTTTTATTACATACGTTTGAAATAAATTTAAAGTTAATACAAAATTTTATGTTTGATTAAATACAATTTTTAATCAAATATAATAACAATCAATTACGACCAAAGCAGATTTACTATTTTTATCAAAATTTTTATTTTCTGCTGTTATGGCACTTAATTGTAATAAAATTTTACAATTTTAATATTTGTGTTTATTGCGTGAAATATAATCTGAGTTATAATTTAAATAAAATAATTTACTGAGATATGTTTGATTATATTCAGAGTTGTCTAGTCAGGACGAAAGGAATAAATTGTTGAATGAGATCGCTATATTGAAAACATATATCTCTCTACTAGAAACCGTAATTCAGACTCCCAAATTCAGTCAATTGCAAATCGTAGAGAAACCATCAAGATTACTGTGCGATAACAAAGATGCAAAATTTCGCAAGATACCAGACGTGCAAACGGAACTGTGCTACGAATTTTATCAGTTCGCAGGAATGCAATGTGTAAATTGTGAAGGTGGTTTTGTTTTTGAATTTTCTAGCACGGAGAATTTTTCAAAGAACGATCTGTATGCGGTAGAGATTTTAATAGACGATAACGGCCGCGGAAAAGTGGGAAAGTGGGTATTGCCTATGTCTATCGATATATCAGAAATATTATCGCGATATCCCATTGATGATTTGAATAGTATAAAACATTTTTTGAAGAGCTGCAAACATCACATCGATTGCTATATGAACCGTAAGGAACAGGCTGAAAAGTTACAGGTGATTGAAGAACTATTGTCATAAGAAATAAAATGTTTTTTAAATATTTATTATTTTATATCTAAAAAATGCAATATGTTAAATTTTTTATTTAACTATAAATAATTATGCCAACACGTATGTTATAATAATTGTATCAACAAAAGATCACTTTGCGCTCTATTCATTTGCTGATAAGTTAATTGAACAAAAATTTTGCTTTACAGAATTTACTTTTGGAGATTAAAAATGCTCATGTGTTATATAGTGTCGGAATTACTCATATCGAATTAACAATGTCACATTTAAAAGACATTGACGATAATAAATTTTATAATGTTATACTATATTTGTATTACAATTCTACCGAAGTAAGACCTTGCAAATTGTTTTCGGATACTGATAGTAACGAAGAACCGTCATCGGATCTAAGTAAAAGATTGAACAAATACTTCAAGCCTTTTTTAAAAAGGGATTTGAATTTGGCATTTTTAAAAGTAAGCAAATCACAAAATCAATTTGTTTGGAAAAAAATTTTGGTGGACAGCAAAGAAAATAGTATAGAAATTGATGATAAATCGAACGATGAAGATGACTTTTTGACAGAATTTCTTCATAAAAGTAATAAAAAATATAAGAAAGAGAAAGATAAAAAACAAGATAAAAAGAATACTTTGTATAAAAATAAAATGGAAACTTCATTCTGCGTCGAAGGGGAAAAGATTCAAGAAGATACAGCAAAAGACGATTTTTCAGAAGAGAATAAAGAAATTAAATCGCAAAAACGCAAACGATCGAAAAAAATAGTAAACAGTGATAAGAATAAAAAGAAACAGAGTAAAAAATTGTTGAATAAATCAAATAATACAAATGCTGAACATTCAGCGAATTCAGGAAGAGAGGAAAATCAATTACAGAAATTGACACAATCAAAAAGAAAGAAGAACGACAAACGAGCAATTATAAGTAATAGCACACCTATTTCGAAAAAATTACCCAATCAGAAGTTTTTTCATGAGATCTCATCTATAATCGAATAGAAAACAAATAATTATGAAAATTGAAAGTAAACAATTTTTAATATTATAAACGTTTTATTCTGCTTAAGGATTTTTAGTTATACATGAACGTAGAAATTCGTATAGTGTTAATTTTTTTAAATGTCTCTTTTGCTTTTTCACTAAAGTTAGAAATACTTCATCTATGGATGGTTGATAGACAGAAAAGTCTGTTATCCACACATATCTTTGTCTTAATTTTTCAAGCTTATCAAACAATTGACTGTACGAAATACCACTTTCCAGTTCATATTTAAGAACACCCTAAAAATATGCTAGATAAAAATTAATCCGTTTTTTTAACAATTAAATTTCTTTTTGTATTTTATTAATTTGGCAAAATCTTCTAAACACGTTTAATTTATTTAAATTATATGATATTAATTTTTTAGAAAATGTTAGGTTTTAATAACAAAATGTTTTATTTATGTTTATATGAAAAGATATCGAAAAATAAAATTATTTATTTACCAAATAACTATCTTTGAATTTTATTGCTGGAAAAGTCTCGTCGATAATTTTTTTTATCTTCTCAAAGTTTGCAAATTGGAATCCTGGTATTACTTTGATACTCAGTATAAAGTTATGTTCGTGTTTTCTCCTCAGATGCTCATAAGATCCAATTGTGACAAATTGGCCATTAACCAAGATTCCAACACGCAGACACATTGCTTCCGCTTCTCGCATACTGAAATACAGAATCCCATATATTGGAACTTTAATTGTTCAAAGTCAAATATATTTTTTATTTACAAATTTTATTGAACTCACCTGTGCGTAGTGATTAATACTGATCTTCCCATCTCCCGTATTTGATGCAAGATTTCACATAAAGCGTGTCTAGTCATTATGTCAATTCCAGCGGAAGGTTCGTCCATAAATACCATTGGCAAATCGCCGACTAAGCTTTGCAGTATACAAAGTTTTCTTTGAACTCCCCACGGACAATGAGCGATCTTTAGATTCTCGAAATCTAGCATATCTATGATTTTAATTTTATTTAATTTTATATAAGTTATTAGAGATAGACAGAGATATTTAGTTTTATTACAAATTTTGGAGTCTTAAATTTCGAACGAGTGGATAAAAATGACGAAGTAAAAAATAGGAATTTTGAAAATTTATATTACCTAATACATCCAACCATTTATTTACTTCGTCGTTGATACACTCGTATGGAACACCGCGAAGTGCCGCATGAAGTTGCAAATATTGTCTGCCAGTCATGAAATCACTTAGTCCGTTAGTTTGTGGACAGTACCCTATCATACCTGTAAACTTGACAATATTTTTTATATAAAAAATTAAAATATTATTAATTGTATCTCAAAATGTTTGTTTTTCATGTATTATCAAAAATTTGAAAAACAAACAAACATTATTAAATTATGAAGTAAGAGATTTAAAAAATTAAATATGAAAAGTACTTATATATAAGAAATTATTTTTTTTATTGTAATTAGATGCATAATATTACTCACCATCTCTTGATCTTTTGAAAATTCGTATTCATATAACACCGCTTTTCCAGCCGACATTTTTATTTCACCTGTCAGCAGTTTGTATATTGTTGATTTTCCTGCCTCATTGAATCCCAACAAGCCAAAACATTCTTGTTTATAAATCTAAATAAAAATATTTTTATATATTGACTGCATAATGTGTATTTAAAAAAATATATCGTAAAGATTTTACGGCTAAAATTGCATAAATTTATTTACATTAAAATTAACTCCTTGAATTACCGGTCTTCCAAAGTACTCTTTTCTTAAATTTTGAACAACCAGAGCAACTTGTGGTGGAAGTGACTTTGTTTCATTATAATCTACACACAAAGAAATTGATAAAATAATTTCTAGTAAAAATAAAGGTATTTGTTCAAAATAAATTTATATATTTTTTAAAGTTATAATTTTTTAGATTTGTAATATTAATAAAAATTAATGTAAAAGTAATATAAATTTATGTAATTTTTATTTTTATATTATTTCTTACGTTTCATATATTCTTCAGTTTGTTTCTTTTCTTCGATAATTTCTGGCTCTATAATATCATCGTCCTTCGCAGAAAGTGTAGAGCAACTGTACCATTTTCTGCGATTTTTTTCTTCAAAAATCTCTAACAATATATAAAAGGCAAACATTTGCGATATCATTAAAAGTATGTCATCTATGACTGAGTGATGATACTCAAATCCGGATTGTTTAATTAGCATTACGTCCAGTTGGTTGTAACAATGCGTGTTTTTGCAGTTTTCTGAAATTTTAAAGTTGTTTTATAGTTTGTTTGTATAAATTAATTCATTATAAAGATAGTTTTTGGGATTAAACTTACGACAGCAAGGATCTTCAACATAAAATTCTGTATCACAAGCATTAAAGTAGCTACAGTGTCTATTATATAAGACCAGCATAATATAATTGCTTAAAGCACAAGCTAGAATATATGGTGGAAATATATGTACAAGAGCTTCAAAAATGTATCTGCCAGTACTGCTAAATGTATGCAATAACAATGGAAATATGATAGAGCTGTTTATTAATAACACTGAAAAATATAATATATTTGAATAATACAATTTTTCAATAGCAGAATATTATAATAATAAATTAACTTAGTAAATTACTAACCGACTATGACGTTGATTAGTATCACGACTAAATACACGTTTTCCGGTTTTTTTGTTAAAAGTTGTATGCAATAGCCTAATGGAATAGCGCATCCTCCGTAACATAAGAATATCATGAATACTTGAACTGAAGCATCGATTAATCAGAAATATTTTTAAATTTAAATTTTTAATTTATATAAAATGTAATATGAATATATAACATTTTTATTTTAATTGTTAGGAGTAACAGTGCTTGATAAGGCCATGCGGCTTTCTAACAACGATTAAATGGAAGTACAAATACAAATAAATAAATGAGCGGCACACGCGGTCTTACTAAGCATCGCTACTCCGAATTGTAACATGTCAATACTACACTATTACTGTAAAATATTATGAAATATTAAATTTTTATAAATTTTGAAATATAGAAAAAAAAAATGAAACACATTTCAAGATAAATATTTCATGAATCTTGGAATTCTTACCAATTTCTAAGTTTGAGAAGTGCAGTGTGCGTTGATAAGCGGTTAAAGTTATAATTCCTAAAAATATTATGGAAAATGCATACAATAAGAAATCGATGATATACATTGAGATCCAATAGATCCGCGTGGACATGCCGACTGCATTAATTTGTAACATTTTTGAAAGTGTATTTCGTTCTGTTATTCCCATATTAATAGAAGGTAAAAGAAGAAATAAAGTCATTATTATAGCAGCATTCTCCCAATTCCGTACGCTGTATGGGTGGGCCAGTAAATATAAATGCCACTGTAAACGTTGTACAACAAATATATACTTTTACCTTACATATTAAATATAAAAAATTAATCAAATATTTTTAAAGTAAGAAAAATGTTTAGTGTTTTAAAGATTGATACAGTATTTTTATTAAATATTTCATGAAATTTTTTACTTGTTCTGGTCTTATTAACGGTCGACTGGTTAATTTTATCCAGCAATCATCTGAACCGCAATGGTAACGCAATAATGCATTATGCAATAGATTTAATGCAATTGGTCCACTGTGTATCGCAGTGGATGAGTATATAAGTTGCACATGTCCATTTACGTGTATATCGACAGACATCACGTAACGATCCCTAAACTACTATAAAATATTAATAACGTCGCAAAATTTAGAATATATATTTTTTATAATACCTCTATCGAATGTAAATCAGGGTGAACTATAATATCCGAGGCTGTGATATGCTTAGAGATATGATAATTATGCCTTTCACTATATGCTTGGCCGGTAGTATATAAAATATCAAGAAAGTCTTCCGCAAGTTTGTCATCGGCTGCATAATATAGCACGTGAAGATTGTTGTCTATATAATTTGTCAGGTTCATTATTTTCTCACTACAAAAATAAGCAAGTATGATTACTTCGTTTTTACAGCACATTTTTTATATAAAAATAAAACTAATCTTTTATAGAATATACATTTTCTATAATTATTATATGAATTAGTATATGTTTTTATAATATATTATATAAAAAAATAATATTTTTTTCTGTCAACTTTGAGCAAGTAAAATTACCTCGAGTCGAAAAGTGTGAAACTACTTAATTCGCTGATTATAGTGATTAGAATAAGAATAACAATCGCCGAAGTCATCTGAAATTGTCATGATTAGTCAGATATGAATACATTATATTTAAAACATGTTCCTTTTGACAAAATCAAAAAATTACCAAAAATATATATAGTTTCCACGATGAAATAATGTGCAATAATTTCTTGTAGAACATTGCAAAAACTTGCTGTCGCCATAAAGCATCATCAGTTAATCGGTTCCATGGTTGAGCTAATAATTGAATGTTACGTCATTTCAATTTGTTTAAAAATAACATTTTTATGTAAATACATTATTAAGTATTAATTATTTATAATAATTCCTGATGTAATGTTAGTGCAACGACTTATTAAGATGGTGCTTATTATTATTTTTTATTTTTTATATTTTATAAATAATAATAATATATTAATTTCATTTAATTGCACTAAAATTTTACCTGTTTGTAACAAATGCCGTCGTCTTTGTTGCACAATAAGCTCGTATTTGTTGCTAGGTAATTTTACACAGCGTTCTTTGAACTGACTTTCTAAACCTATTCTGAATACAAAATTATAAATGTTGATATCAAATTTTTTTATTTTTTAATATTTATTTTTATATTATCAAGAATAGGTATATATTCAAGTCATATTTAATAGATTCGTCGAAAGACTTTTCGTAAGCTAATTTTGTAACATTTGGCTATACCTAAGAAATTGACCCTCAATGCTTGCAGTACTAAGTGTAGCCGACATGATTTTCAGTTCTTCTTTATTGTATTCTAGATATTGAAGCAATTTTGAAAATCGACTGATTTTTGGCACGTCAAATCTTATCATCAAACCCATTGTGCCTCGCAGAGTAATGGGATCTGCAGAAAACTGTTGAATTTCCGTTTGAACTTTTTCCACATTGCAATCTTCTTGTACCAATAAACTCAAAACATAACCGATTCCTAATTTCAATTCATAAGATTTAATTAATTAACAATTAAATAATTAATCATTGTTTTTAAATTTTTTTATATACACTGCTCAAAAAAATTTTGGCATAGAAAAATTTGGGGCAAATATATCAACTTTGACGGACGATAACTCCGCGAAAAATCATCGTAGGATCCTGATTTTTTTTAAAATGAAAACGTGAAATCTCTACTTTGAGATACTATTGAAAATTGTTAAATTTTAACCGTCTGAAAGCATTTAGCATTAAGAAAGTATTTTAAAGTTTGAAATTTGTACATTCACGTTTAGGCCGTTTTTGAACATTTTTTATCTTCACACTTCTGAGACCGAAGAAGGAACTTATTGTTTTATTGTCAATAAAAAATTTTTTTTTGCAAAATTTATTACAAGTGTCAAAAGATACGACATTTTATCTATAAAACGCGTTTTTTAAATATTGCTACGATTTTTTTTGCCCGAGTTATGCGACTTTAAAACCAATCATACATTTTGTGAAAAATAACGTTTACCGTCAGCATTAACATTAGCGCAAATAATGCAAGATTATTATAATAAATATGTTACAAATTATAATAGAAATATGATGTATTAATTATTCAGAATTTTACCATATCGACGATTTAGATACATTTTCGAACCATAACATTCAATCCTTCCATTCGCGATAATAGCAATCCTGTCAGCGAGAAGATCCGCAGCTTCCATGGAATTTGTTGCCATTAATATTGTCTTCTTCCTTTTTATGTCCTGAAAATTTTAATTATTTATTTAAAATAATTTTTATTTTATATATTTAATATCACGGAATTTGTTTAAAAAAAAGATTTTTACCAATAGTAAATCCCATATCTGTCTTCTATGCTGAAGATCCATTCCATATGTAGGTTCATCAAGAATCAAAATCTGATAAAATTTAAATTTTGATTTAGTTTGTTAAGTTTATCTGTTATTATTGCATTTATAAACGTTAATTTTTAATTTGAGTAAAATTAAACTCACGAATAAAATAGTATACCTTAGTATTGCCGATAAGTGCCATCGCCAAACAAATTCTTCGCTGTATGTCGAAAGAACAGGATTTTGTTTTAAAATCTTTCGCAAATTCTAAATCAAGTTGCTTTAACAATTTTAGTGACTCTTTATGAGCATCTGTATAGGTCATTCCTTTTATCTAAAATAATAATTATATTATCGATTTTCAGTTGTATTGATGTATTATGTTCTAAATTAATTTATGACAAGTAAGGGTGACTATTTATTAAATAATTAAAAAACTGTTTTCATTACAATAAAATATGTAATTAAACAAGATGAAGGAAAAGACATTATTTATGGTAATTATCAATTTTACTATTTGTTATATGAATCTTAATATAAAATATATTGTGATCTTTCTGTAAGAAGAGCGCTCTAATGTAATTCAATCCTGAGGAATCTAGGCAAAAGTTATTGCGCCACAACCATTTCACATAAATTTATAGGCAAATAAATTGTGTTTTCTCTTATTGCTTATTTGAGCCAGGTGGTAAATTAATAGGTAGTCCGACGAATAATCACTTTCTAATTTTAAGTCAGATAATTAGAAATATATGGTTGCATTAGAATTTTAATTAAATCAATATACTTATTTTTAACATTTTTGTTGATACACATGTTTTGAACACAAATGCTTTATACTATTAATTTCTAAACATATTTATGTTATATTGAAATATTTGATAAAAAGATAGTTCGCATGAATTAATATTTTATAAATTAAAAACATTATTTGATATGTAAAATAAAAAACTGTTACTTGTCCTATAAATGCAAAAATAATATATATTTACCATGCCAAATATATAGAGATGCTGTATCGCCGTCAAATAATTTACCAATATATTTTCTTGCGGACAATAACCAATTGGATTTATCGAACTTTCATCTTCGTTATAATCTCTTCCTTTCAAGTAAATATGACCATGAGTCGGCTTGTACATTCCTGTTGTATATATTTGTCAAATTATTCTGTTATTACATATCTGATCAAAAAATGATAAAAATGTCTATTGTACCTATAATCATCTTTAAAAAACAGCTTTTGCCGGCACCATTGTGACCGAGAATGACGCTAAATTCTTGATGATAAAAGTCAATCGTTACATTGTCTATAACTGTAATGCGATTGTTGATTCTGCCGAATTCTTTACTGACACATCTTACCCGAATAGATGGCTATTGTATAAATCAATTACACACGTGAAACATAATGTTGTGATTTACGTTTAATCTTTATAATTCATTAAAAATTAATCTTATTTGTTTTTCTCACATTTATGTCATAGATTTATTAGATCTCATATTTGAGAAATAATTAAAGAGAAATGCACAATGTCATATATACCTTCATGTATGATGGTGTGTATTCCACTGCTGACCAATTAGTGGATCCTCGAATCATTAATTCATCATTATTAGGAGTAGGTTTCTAGACAATTGATAATATATTGATAATATATAATAGTTGACAGTTGATTTGCATTATTAACGTATACAAATATGATTCTTATAAAATTTAAAAACAAAATAAAAATTTCTTTTTCTTTTTCTTCTTATTTACCTTGCACAAATAATACCAAGGCTTTGCGCTACCAAATTTACCCGGATTTATATTATCCAAATATACAGCTATCAGGTACCAAAAAATAATGTGCAAGCTCCACGTGAACAAAACCATACTCATAGAGATCTTTTCTTTGGCGTGGATGATATCGTGAGCGTCTCGTAACGTTATAAATTCAGAGAGCCACCGTGGCCAGAAGTACGAGACAAAATTATTGTAATTTTGTGGTTCTATTTTCTGTAAACCTTCGTTTTCATAATCGTCTATCAAAATAAAAATCTTTGTTGTAAATTTTACTTCTTATGCGTGTAGATTTTGTCCGTCACTTTTATAATATAACACGATTAACCTTGCACTTGTAAGATTGTTTAATTTACGGCGCTAGGTAATTTCTCACGTTACGCGTGAAACTTAATTAATAGTTTAATTTTTAGTAGACAAATGTATGATAATTTATGAAAAAGTATAAGTTTTATAAGGGTGTTTCATAATGTTTATCCAAACGCTTGTGTATAGATAGAGTATGATAAACTGAACAGAGGAATTCTTTACTGTTTTACAATTTTTACAATAGCCACGCGCTACGTGCTATCATTCGTCAATTCTTAATTAACATCTCAATTATTATTGCGACAGTTACAAAACGATAAACTTTTCTGTTTAATTTACCGCGCTCCACCTGTACACGAGCGTTTAAACAAATATTATAAAACACCCTATATATTCTTTAGAAATGGTGCATGGTTCTAAGCTATTTGACGGGTAATGTAAGTTGTATAAAAATACAATTTGATCACAGTCTGTACGCAATTTAAATAATGTGGTTAGTAAATTTGCTTTGCAATTTACACGCGTGAATAACTTAGCTCTCGAGAAATGTAGGAATTATATAATGTACGCTGCAACTTTTTTAATTTACATTCTGAGTATGCACTATGTTACTTTATAATGTTAATTTACACTTTGCATATTAGTGTTTACAATAAACTTATAGATATGTAACAAATAATAACAAATTTTTTATTTAAATAAAAATTTAATTGTGTATCAGGAATAAATAATGCCAATTGATAAAATTTTATTAAAATAATAAAATTTCTTTGAATTAATTCTTTGCTCATTGTCAGTTTGAATACAAATAATTTTTGATTCAAAGATAAATTTTTAATCTTACTGATATCTATTTATTTGATGTTTTTGTGTAAATATTTCTGCAATACTTTTATAATGTACACAAATTATGTATGCATATAATATTCTTTAACGCGTTCACATTTGATGACACGTACGTCATATAATTAAATAATAAATTTTTTTAGACGGACTTTTGAAAAAGAACATGTTGATATAATCTGCATAATTTAATTTGCTTACCAAAATCTGTACAAGTCATGAGGGCTATTAGTCCATATAATAAACCACTATGTGGCAGAATCAAAGAACTGATCCTTGTCAGGACAGATGTCCTTATCAGAGATTGATCCAGAACAACAGTGAAATGCATCAAAAAGAGCCATAACGGAATAGACGTGAGTAATGCTTTCGCAGCTATTATAAGAAAATTAAAATTTTCAGCAATATCTTTAATGTTATTAATTTTTTAGTTGCACGCTTAAGTGACTTACGCTGATTGAAAAATGTGCCGATGGTGAACATGAAAAGTACTGACAAAATATTATACATTACGATGAAAATAGCGATGACCAACACATTTGTAGTAAAAAATACAGGATATAATAGAATTATACACACGATCGTCACAGGTAATACGGTGATCATGAGATAATTCAGCCATCCAATGTACAACATCGCGAAAGACATATTTGTCAATCTCATAAGACCCTAAAAAAAATGTGTACATATTACGCTCCTATCAAATTTATTGTGTACATATGTCTTTACAATAAGTATCATGGTATCATAAAAAAAACATACACATATAGAATTAATGTTATAAATTAAAAAATAAATTACAATTGGATTATAACTAATGCTAGCGAGTGAGAAAAATTACTATAACAAAATTTACCCTAAATCCAGTTTCTTTGTCATGAAGTGCCTTTTTTAACGTTGCTACTGGTGGCAAAAGGAAGGCAACAACCATCATATAATAAATTACTCTTATGTTAGGTCGAATGATAAACGGCGAAGCTAAAAAATCCACTTCGTGATACGGAAATCGGCCAATTGACAGCTATAGAAAAATCTATTTTTGTTATTTTTCATGCTTAAAATAATTTACTTAATAATTTTGTTAATATCGGCATTTAAAGAACTTACATTGTCGGCGATTTTTGGTAATGTCGGATCTGTCCATATATCTACGAAAGATTTCTCAATCGCCATTTGTAGGGCCATAAAACCACTTAACACATACGGATCTTTGACAATAAACATTAATGTAAATAATTTATTGTATTTTTTTATTACGGTATGCTTGTAAAATTAGACCAAACCAGATTTTATTATGTGTTCTAGTTTTGTTGCATAATCAAGAAATAATTTACGACAAGATAAAACTGCTTTTTAAATGTAACATTCCAATGAAAGAAATTTATTCTAAGAATAAAAAGTTTAGGATCAATCTGAAATATGAAAAAGTATCGAGTTACATTTTAATGTTTATTTACAAGTTTGTAATACCTTCATGGGCGGGTTTTTCCTCATGCATCATGATCACCCGATTCTCGCCTATTTCCGATGAACGTATTTTATATTCTAAAATTTTTGGCTTTCCAGATGCAAGTTTCTCAAGTTCAAATATCGCCCATAATACTTTGGAAGTATCATTTTTCGTGTAACGTGAACGCACAAGACTGATCTCGCTATCGGCTGCTTGAACTCATGTGCAATATGTAATTTTTATTTAGTATTACCTTTTTTATGTTTTTTTGAGATACTATCTTACTTTTTGTATGAAGCATTTTCGCCACTCTCGACATTAATTCATCTACAAATGCATCTGTTGGTGCATACCAGCATTCCACATTATTTGGCAATTTTGCCAGAATATCATTTTGACTACGTACATCTAAATCCTTTATATAAGTACAGATTCAAATATTGTAGACAATAATCAAGTTATTTAATAGAAATGCGTAATAAGCTGGTTAATTCTATATAGAATTTTAAAATTTACTTGTGGATGAAAACCGTGCGGCTTGAACATTAAACGTATTTGCAGGGAAAAGATAATAGCTATAATGATCTCTAACGCAGTGGTTATTGGGCTATGCAATCGCATAAGTACAGCTTTCCACATAAGAATTCGCCATCTCGTCCAGAACTTCCTAAGTTTCGGATGCTTGACAATCTCTTTCACTCTCAGCATCTTGGTTTTACACCAGAAAAAATGTTCATCTCATTAAATGCAAGCGGAGTTCTATTTTGCGGTCTATTTAGCAGAAACAGAGAAGGCAATTGCGTTTCTTGCGTAACTGAAAAGCCAAGCGTTTTTTGACAGTTACTCTTTTGACAGAAAAAAAACATATTTTCTGCAGAGAAAAACAAAAGAACCGATTGCGAGAGATAGAGTAGGCATTTTTTGTAGTGACAAATTTTCAGATAATTTTATTTTTAAGCAAATAAAATATATTTGAATAAATGATATAAATAGTGACGACAATTTACAAATTTTATATTTGTTAATTTAATTTTTAAAAATATTGGAAAATAAAAAATTGATAAATTTTTAAGTGTCTATAATCAGTCTGCGTGTGGGTGTCATGGTTACGAATTATCATCGGTCGAATAATACAATGTTTTAAAACATACGTTTGACAGCATTTGGAATGTGTTTTACTCACCGCATTGTGTGAGACAATATTTCGCATCAGGAAGGAAAGTGATCGGCGTTACGGTCTGTTGAGTCGGTCTTGCGTTATTAAATTGCCGTGCGTGTGCGAGATTTATGTACAATTTTTTTTTCCATTTCTCTCCATTTCTATTTGCGCATAAATTGAATTGTTAATATTCTATGTACTCTAGCGTTCTCCAAATGTTATCATTATTAAAATATGCTTTAATATTTTGAAGAAAATTGCTTTTTTAGTTTTTTTATTAATGCGAGTTTCTAAATTAATAAAATAAAAATTGAAATAATGGTTAATGATGCAAAAATTGTATGTACATAATTTCAAGCATTACATTTAAATATTTTATAATGGAATTAAACTTGATTATTCTTTAATGTTGAAAAATTTCAAGAGTTTTATCTTTTTAAAATTTAATATTTATTTCCATATTTATATTTGGGTGGATTTTTATTTCTAGATGAAGAAGATTCAATGTATTGTCAAAAATATTAAATTATGCCGATTATTTCTGGATTTATCCTTTCTATCATTAAAGATAAGTCTAGCGATGATAATGGCAACTTTCAAAATAATTGTACCATGTCCTATGAAACGCTTACTAGGAGAAATTGTTCTTGTAAGTTATATTTTTCAACGAATACTAATGTTACTTTAAATTTTATTTTAAATTTTTAAGGGCACGTATTCTATTAAAAATACTTTATTAATAAATATCAAAATTTTAGATCACTGGAGCTGGACACGGTATCGGTCGTGAATTGGCTATTCAGTTATCTTCGATGGGTTGTATAATTGTTTGTTGGGATAATGATGTTGAAACTAATCGATCAACGATGACAGAAATATCGAAAAATGGTGGAGAAGTATATATGTTGAAAAATTTTTTAGTTTTAATTACATATAACATAAATAAAATATTGTGTTAATAATTAGTAACTAACTTAATGTTTTATAAATAATAATCTTGTACTTTATTTTTTATTGAACTGTATTTTGTTGTACGCCGTCTATTTTTAACATTATTTTTGTGGAAGGAAATTATAAGCGCTATTAAAAAAGCGCGAGATAAGCTATAGAAATCTTTAGGTTTACGGTTTCGTGGTCGATGTCTCAAAGAGATTGGAAGTACGAGAAACGGTGAGATTAATGCGAAAAATTGGCGTGCCGGATGTGACGATTCTCATTAACAATGCGGCTGTATTGTGTCATAAGCCGTACCTCAGTTATAATCCGGATGACGTGGAAAACACATTCAACGTTAATGTGCTTTCAAACTTCTGGGTATGCACTCACAGATTGAATTTTAATCACGTAATTGACAAGTGCGAGTCATATCATATGGTTTTAAAGCAATTCTTTATGAATCAAATGTAATTATATATTTTCCTTTTAAAGTCAATAAAATCTTATGTTATATAAGTAGTATAAAATAATTTATGACTTTTTTATTTTAAGTAGACAATAGAAGCATTTTTGCCGATGATGCTACAAAGAGGTAGCGGTCATATAGTAGCGATGAGTAGCATGTGCGGTATTTACGGCGTGTCGCAAAAAGTGGCATATTGTTCGTCCAAATTTGCTGTGAGAGGTAATTTATCAATAAGTAATAATTTATTTATAATGAACATTTTTTATGAATTTTATTTTTAGGCCTTATGGAGGCTCTTCATGAGGAAATACGGCTAGAAAGAAAGTCTAATATTCATTTTACAACGATTTATCCATTTTATGTCGATACAGGATTAGCGAAAGATCCTAAATACAGGTGAAAACATTTAGATTTAATAATAAAATAGTGATAAATGTTGAATTTTAAAGACGTCTTAGTGGAAAACATACAAAGATATAATATAATTATAATATCCTGTGTATTGCGTCATTGTACGGTTGTACTTATTGCGTTATTAATTAGCTGAGAATTTTTCTAATGTATAGATTTTAATGTGAAGAGATTTTGTTTGTGATTTCACTATTTTACGTTAGTGCTTCCGGCATAGACATAGTAATTTGCACGCGTGTAGTGAGTGTGTTTATGAACCGAATCGTCTTTATGTACTTTAAAGGTAGTGTTATTGCGCGAGATACACATAATTAATGCACAGTAAGTGGAACAGTCTGATCCATAAAGTAATAAAGTAATAAAAGAAAATAATTATTTATTGCATTTACGATTTTTTATAAACATTTGTTTGATGTATTTACAATGAAATTTTATTACACTATTTAGCCTTTTTCTTTTCTTGTAAAAAAATGTAGATAAAATCATAAATATACAAAATATTTCGTTCATCTTTAAAATTCGAGTTGTATTACACAATTCGAAATTATCAAATGGTCATATAATTATACCTTATTCGATTATTTCAAGCATAAAATTAACGAGATAATTATTACAAAAAAAGGATGTTTCTTAATCAATGTTTGGGTAATGTAATGTTATATGCTTTTTGTTACGCTCTTTGTTATAATGACAGCTATTTATTCGTTACGTTGATTTATTTCTGTGTTTATGTTTACGACAATGATAAATTAAAAGGAAACTTTAATTTCAAATTAATTATAGATTTCCTTTTATCTTTGGTGTCGTGACACCGGAATACGCCGCCCAGGAAGTAATTAAAGCAATCCGAAGAAATTATACGGAGTATTCAATACCGCGATGTCTTTTTTCTTTGAACGCAATCAACAGGTACATATATGATGCATTAAAAATAAAAGTGTTTACAACTATAATATCTAACAATTTCTTTTGTATAATTTTTTTAAATCATCTATAGATAATTACTTCTGGGAAAAGTTACATTATATGATGACGCGTATTATAATTTTTTTTTTTCTTCAGGATTGTTCCAGAAAGCGTAATGCGTTTGATACTGGATTTCTTGGCAGATGTCGATAGAAAACAAAGAGAAAAAGATATAATGAATTTGTAATTAGATTTAACAGCTTAACAAGAATTATATCAAGGAAAAAGAGTTATATAAACCGTTGTATTTATTAAGTATAAATTTTATATAATAAATAAAATATGAGAAATTTTACATTTTCTATTCTCATGTTTTGGCAATTAGTTCACAAATTTCGATATTAAATATAAAATTTATACATAGAAACCTAAAACCATTGCTTTAAAATTAAAAAAAACTTTTTGTGTGATGATCTAACATCCCAATAAACATTAGGACATTCTATGTACGTCCTATGTATATACATATATGGATATTGTATATTCTATGTATATACAGAGAATATGAAAAGTATATACATCGCATATCTTATGTATGTGAAATGATTACCACATGTATGTACATAGGATGTCCATAGCACATACATATTATAGGTATATTGCAAGAATGTGCAATACACATTCGTTGCATGTACATAAGGTATATTCTATGTATATTTACGCTGTGATCTCGTTTGAATATACAAGTCATATATATTTATACGATGTCCTACGAATATCCCTAAATATACGTAAATTCATGTATATTCTATGTATGTACATAGTATATACAATACATTTTTTTCACATTATGGATATTCCATGAATATACATAGGATATCGAATGTTTATTGGGTATATGACAAAACACTTGGCTCAATGTAATTAATTAAATAATGAAATAATTTTAATAATTTTAAATTTAAATAATTTATTTCTTAACATTAAAAATTTTATGGAAAGTGGACTCTACACTGGACTCTACTCTTAAGTCAATAATAAACAATTTTTATTCATCCGAATATTTTTCTACCTAATTTCTGAACAATCAGTTTATCTAAATTCCCTGTGTTGGGATTCAGATATTAAACTGATAGAAAAAGTTATTACATTTTCAATATTATTAACCGCCTTTTGCAAGCTTTATATAATTCTCATGATTAAATGTGTAAATATGTATATGTATAAATTAATATTTATGGATATCGTGATGTCACTGTGACATTATCAGAAAGTTACAGTGATATTATTAGTTACAGTTGTTGTGATATCATCATAATTTGACATAAAATGTCACGGAAATGTTACAACAAATTCCAAAAACAGTATTCAGTCATTAGTTCATCCCACCACGACTTTGTTGTGATAATTAATATTTAAATATTAATTAATATTTATGGATATTGTGATGTCACTGTGACATTATCAGAAGGTTACAGTGATATCATTGGTTACAGTCGTGGTGATATCATCATAATATGACATAAAATGTTACTTCATGTATATTCCATCTATATATATCAAACGTATATACTACATCAGCGTATATCGTATGTACATTCATTTGATGTATATACATGGAATGTACATGAGGTATATTTTGTGTATATATAGGCAGCGATCTCGTTCAAAAATACATTCTATGTATATTCATTCGATGTCCTACGAATATCCCTAAATACACGTAAATTTATGTATATTCTATGTATGCACATAATATATACAGTACGTTTTTTTCACATTATGGATATTCTATGTATACAATACATAGGATATCGAATGTTTACTGAGATGTTATTTCTTCAAAATCATTTTTAACCCAAAAATTAAATTTAAAAAATTTTTTATACTGAACAATTTTATAGTTATAAAAATATATAGTATTATAAAAGATGTATTTAAGATATGTTTGTCACGTATAATTGAAAACTTAAATTACCTTTCTACAATATAAATAGCGGGGCTAGTGATCAATCTATAGCGGAAGGAAAAGTACACCGGCATTTTAGAAAGTAAACTAGATTATCAATTGGGGGGTCGTAGACACGTTGATATTGTTAAAACTTGTTGCATTACATAACTTAGATTCAACCGGCATTCGCCGATACAGGGATACTATACTTCTAGTAATTTTCAATGCGCATGCATCTGTCGTAAATAAGTAGTTATATTGTTAAATGCTATCTCTATTATTTCTCTCTTACTTCCGCGTTATTATTTTTAACTACAGATGTTTTTTGTTAATCTTTACGAGAACATGAGCTTATTTATTATATTATTAAATTTTTTATCTGTTATCTAAGAGACTGTAACAAATTATTTAAAATTCATAAATTATCTACGTTTTATGAATACATTTATGGATGATAGTAAATTTTTTGAAATTTTAAGGTAGCAATATGCGCATAAATGATATCACAATATGCGCATATGTATGACTTTTCATTCTAATGTTTTCTATTTAGTGAGTATGCATTGAAAATAATTTTTCGGAACAACTTGAAGAAGATTACACGTAAAAAATATAATAATATGATTTGCGATGTAATAATTCTGAATAAAGAATTAATTTAATTTATTACTAATATAAACTATATATATATATATATATATATAGATAACTATATATATAGATAGTGTATATTATTACGTATATAAAATAAAGATTTATTATTATATTCTTGTTTTGCCAAAAATTTTACATATTTTACATACATTATTTATAATTCGATAAGACGTGAAGAACATTTTAAGAAATATATTAACTTTTACAGTTAAATAATTATCAATTTTAATTAATTTTATTTCGTCTAAAATAAAAAATTTTATATAAAATTAAAAACAAGGTAATGCAATAAATAAAGTATTGTACAATAAGATTAATCTTTGACTCGATAATATGCTAATTAAAATTTTGACTTTTAAATCTAGACTGATTTTACATTTATATTTAAACTAAATTTGACTTGATTTAAATTTTACTTGTTTATTCGTTGTTATTTATCGTGGTATGCGAGTGCGAGAGTGGCCTTGACTTTGCATGGTAGAAGAAACCGGCTTTAGAGCTACAGTTCCTTCTTTTCATGTTACAGGCCAACCAGCAAATATTTTTAAGATGATCTTTCGATATTGGCATTATTTAATTAAAGACAATTTTATCATTTATTTGCTATATGTAAAATCTACTTTAAATGATTTATATATCGTAATAGAATTTGAAAAATATAAATTAATAAACTTCGTAAATTTCTACAAAGTTATTGCAAAATTAAGTACCAGGATTACGTAGAAATATGTTGGTAATATCATAAATTTACATTGTATTAAATAAAGTATGACTGCAAAAGTAATCTTTGTTCTATTAAAAAAAGGAATACTTTAATACTGCTATAATTTAAAGAGTTAATAAAGAATCGTAAAATTACATTTTTTTAAGTTGATAATATGCAAATTAGATAGATCTTCTTCATAAACATCGAAATCGAATAAGGAAAACATCAGCAAGTATTGATATATTGCCACGACACATACTTGAACAAAATGTAAAACTGGAAGACGTAGATGTTGAACAAAAAAAAAACGGTGAATGTCTGCAGCTTATACTCGTGCTGCTACATTGTGCCGGTGTTCAGTCAAGTTCAAGCTAGTCGAGAGTTCTGACCGTCATCGTCGTTGCATTCGTGGTGGAATTACTCCCTACGCGTTCTCCACTATTCACGGAACTGTCGAGAAACCTAGAGATCCAGCTCGATCCAGTGATCTACGCGTTCTTCACGGTAACGTTTCTTGCTACGAGTGAATTTTCTTCCGCTCGACAACGCGTTATATTGTATTAGGTGAGTTTACTTTGTGTATAAAGCAAAAGCGAAATTTGTTTTAAATTTGCTAAGATATATGTTAAGACAATCTGTATCTGTGTTTTATTGTTAGTGAAATTTGTGCTTTATTTATTTAGAGATAAAGAAAAATTTCAGATGTTTTGTATTATTTTATTCATAGTTCTTTAACTGTTTTGAAATATACTTTTCATGAAAAATTAGATTAAATGCTATGCCTTTTAAAAATTATTTAATCTTTATTTAAATTTTGGTAAGTTTTTATGACATGTAGTTTATTACATCTCATTTATATCGTTATTCAAAAATGTCACAAGACAATGCGGCACCACTTTATCACGAAAAAATCGAAATATATTTTACTAGCATCTTTCACAACATGCTCAAATGTAAAATTTATAGTGTTCAATATTTTAATAAAATGATATTCTATACGTTTCAAAGTAATTAATGAGTGATTTAAAAATGTGAGTGATGACAAATCGCTTAGATTTATTAAGCAGAAATGTTGAGAAACCTATCATTTCGTTATTTTCTTTTAATTAAAAGATTAATTATTACCAAAAAATTTGCAGTTTATCTTATGCAACTATATTTTAGCGATATATTAAATCTAAACTAGTAAAAACGATTGCTGCACATAAAAGAATATTTGTAAATGAACTTATCACCTATTATATTGAGTAAAGAGAAACAAAAAATACCTTTAGAATTCAATAAATCTATTAATCACAAATTACATATTTCTTATTACAATTTTTATACGTATAAATTATTAATTTTGTTATTATAATGCGAGTAATGACAGGGAAATGCTAAATTGAACAATTTTGTTCTATGTTATTAAAGTGTATTTCAAATGAAACATACGGTAGAAAGGTTACTGCTTTTTATAATTATTAGAGCAGTATAAAGCGCGTTATATACGCAGCAGCCTTGGAAATATTCCACATATACATATATTTGAATAATTTATGTAAATACAGAGTTTCCCATAGGAAGTTGTTGAAATTACTTAGCTGTCATTTTTAAACGCACATTGGGAGCAAGAAAAATAAAATATTTTCTAACAAAGGACATTTTGCAGTTTTATTTACGTATAAAATAAAGACAATATTTTTATCATTAAATAAATGCTTATTGAAAAATGTTAAATATCGCTAATTTTAATGGGATACATTTTTGAAGTACGCGTATTTTGAAGTACCGTCAGAATTATAACAAAAAAAGTGCGCACTTTGAAAATATAAGCCATTAAAATTAGCAAAATTTGACAATTTTTAAAAACGTTTATTTAAGGATAAAAATATTTCCGATTGTTTTTAGTTTATACGTAAATAAAACTGCAAAATGTCCTCTTTTAGAAGATATTTTATTTTTCTTGCTCTTTATGTGCGTTTAAAAAGGACAGCTAATTAGTTTCAGCAACTTCCTACTCAAAGTGGGACACCCTGTGTGTAAAAAAAAAATTTGTATCTGATGGTGTTGCATTTGTGTACAATTGTGACAATCAAGTTGTTTTATATTTAATATTTAATCTTTTTACGCAAAATTGAAATAAATATGATTTCCTTTATTTTTGGAAAGTAAATTAATACAAAACTTTCTTCACAATGATTTAAATTACAGTTATTAACCCACTTTTAACAACTATCAAAATATACGATCGTCGTAATTAAAACCTCTAAATAAGCACTCCGACATCATAAAGAATAATGGAAAAGGAACAACAACGAAATTCACACGTCTTTCTTAAAAGTGGAATGGAGTGATACGCAATTAATGGAAATAAGGTGACTGATTTCAAAATATACATATAAAACATTTTTTCATTTATTATAATTATATATTCTATTACAATATTTCTAATTCCATGTATTAATCAATAATTACTGTGTAAAAAAATAACATTTCTACAATGTGATGCATAATGCATGAATAATTATTAATGGTATTAAGAGATCATTTCCATAAAATAACTACGTTGCTATTTAAGTCGTTATATATGTATGTGTGCTTTGTGCAATCTTTTGATCCAATACACAACATAATTTTTCCACAATTGCCTTTTTTACATTCTCAAGGCGTTTATTAAAAAGATTGCCGCGTCAACCTTGAGTTAGTTTAATAGGCGTTTGATACCTTTCAAAATATATAATTTATCTTTTTTAATTAATATAGCATTAGATAGCATTGAACGTGAGAGAGAAAATACAGAGATACGCGTTACGATTAAACTTTAGTTAGAGCCGGTTTCAAGGATACAACAACGTGATATGTCTTGAATAAAAATCATATATCGAGATATGCGATTGACGTCAGAGAAAGACGTAGACGTTTACCTTGAGACCTTTTACAAAAATTGGAAACAAGTTCATTACTATAGTTGGCGTGTAGAAACTACTAATTCAGATAACCTTCAGATTAACCTAAATTCAGATTAATCTAAGTTCTTCTACGTTTTAGTAAATTATTGAAGTCATATTAGATCTCGATGTGTATTTAAACTATATGTATATGGAGAATCTTTAGGAATTTTAGTATAGTTTAATGCTGTTCTGATTTAAATACATAATTACACCATAAGATACAGCGCACTATGAAATATGATCGGTGTACTATACGATACGATCTCTCGTCGATGACTATGTAGGATGTAAATTCCTTTGCCTCAATTTCAATCAAAGTGATAATATTACATTTCAATTTTTTTAAAGAGAATTAATTTCTTATGAATATTCTGCGACATAAATTATCGATATTTCGCAATATTAAAAGTTACTTTTGTTTAATTTTTTTTTTAAATATCATTACTGCTATTGGAACAAGATAGTCATTGAAAATAAATAATTTGTGAGACAATTCATTTATTGTGTACATTGTTTAATGGCGTTTTTTATTTTATGTAGAATGTCATTTCACACGGATTTTATTTACGTCTAAACAGTAGCTTCTAATTTCTCTTATAACTGTGATTACAACGATTAGGTTGGATCTGTTTGCGATCAGTAAAAGTTGGGTGAACTTAACTATTTTACCACGTTTGCTGCGGTGGAAAGCTGAAAGCGGCGGAGCGCTGAAAGAATGCACCAATGATTATGTAACAAGAAAAATAGCATTCATTTTAGAAGTTCGAGACTCAATTTATGACATTGTATTTACATTAGTGTTACATTTATGCACTTTATGTGTGTTCATATATTTGGCAAAAATTTACTCACATTTTTTTATTTGTATTGTACAATAAGTCATTGATTTTTTAATCATAGTTAATATTTTGAACTTAATATTTAGACTAGACAAGCAGGAAAAATATTACGCTTTAATATAAAATATAGAAATTGTCACGCTATTAAATCTTATATTATGTTTCTTAAATTATTACTTAATTTATTTCAATTATTTTAATTATTCTTACGATTTCAATTACAGATTGCCGATGATGCTACACTTTTAAATAAAAATTTTAAAATTTACAATCGATATTATTGATGTACAAACAATTTTACTTTGATTTATTATTCAGTGTTGCGTATGATACCGAAATAGGAGTGCATTGAATATATACTTTCAAACGAGTTTTTAAAGAAGAAATGTTGATAATTGGCGTATTAATCGAAATAAAAAATATACATATAAATTAATCAATATTAGATATTGATAGATTATTGTACAAAGTTACTTTTGTAACACAAATTTGCTCATGTAAAGTGACAAGACAGAAATTCGTAAACCTGACCAAGTGATAGTCGTAATATTCTACTTTATGTTATTTAATTGCAAAGCTATAGCGAGTGCTAAGCCACAGACGTTTCGAAACTGATGTTATTATTTGTTTCCCCAATAAGCGATGTCGATATAACGCAACAATTCGTTTTATGTTACTCAAACAAAACAATGATTTACGTTTTGTCCTCTTGTAGTGTTGCAATTCGAATTTTTTTTAGATGACTTGTAGTATAATATATATTCAAAAATAAAAACAATGAAATTTATTTGAAATTAATTGATTATGACTAAATATGCAATAAATTTTGGACATTTATACTTGCGTTTTCGAAATATTGCAAAATTTTACAGAAAACATGCATACTATCCTACTTTATTAACACGTATAATTGTAATTTTATTTTTTTCTTCCTCATGCAAGAAAAGTATTAATACTACGTTTTCATATGTGTCAATCAGCAGGTCAACGTTGCATGGTGCTAATTTCCATTTCAATTGAATGTACAGTTTAATTTCAGCATTATATAATATCGACGAGTTCTTTCGTAGACTTGTTGCATTTTACAGCCGATGTTAGCGTTCTTTTATTTTACCAGTTATGTCAATAATGAGTTGAAGGTGAAAATAGCTACGTATGTATTGCATAATGATTTAAATTAGCAATGGAAATTTTCGGATTTGTTTAATGAGCTTTATAATTTTGAAACGTGATGATTAAATTACAGGCAGCTTTCATTAAAAAATTAATATGTGGTACGGCATTATATAATTTGTATAAAAAATTCTTTATGTTTTCGTTTCTTACTTGATTATTATATTTGTGCTTTAGAAGTATACTTTTCTTTTTTATGTCTCTTATTCTTACATAAATTAAATAATAATATACTTCACTGTGTCCATTTGATTAGCCCTGACATTAATATTTTAACATTTGATTATTTTACATAAAGTATCGACAATTTGTGTCTAAAAATATTTTTCTTTAATTATCTTTTTAATCTTTACAGAACCAGAGAAGCCGCTATAGCGAATTTGCATGATATCTTAAGAGGTACGTTATATATAGGATGTCCTACCAAAAGTCACTCTCTTTTATCTTTTCAATTAAAAGAAATAGACCATAACAAATATATCAAATTAAATGGTTCAAACTGAACTCTATTGTGAGTATATGGCCAACTTCGGACTCGTGCATTAGAGATTGTCGTATGTCAATTGAAGTTGTAGCGCTGTTAATTATTAATTAATTATTGAAGTTGGCCATATCGCAGGGCCGAAAGTGAAAAGATAAACATTGCCCGCGATATTTCAAGCCGATAAAACTCGTATAATATGTAAAATATTTATATTAAATCATACATCGTTGTATTCTCTTCAAACAACGCTACAACTTTTTTTACATCAAAATATTCACATTATTATAAAAAAATTAACGGATAGCTTTTGTAAGTAACTATTATGCTCACAATAGAGTTTAGTTTGAACCATTTAATTTGATAAATATTTCTTACGGTCTATCTCTTTTAATTTGAAAGATAAAAGGAGGTGGTCACTTTTGGTGGGACATCCTGTATGATACAAGTTTTGGGTATCAAGAATTTCAAGGAATATCGGTCTTCTGAAGGTTAATAGTTGTAAAAAAAGAATAAATTAACAATTATCGTAAAACGACAGTAAAAATCATTATAATAATGGAATATATTTTGCTTCAATGCATATTTAACAGTTAGATTTAAATGCATTTCACAACGTTGATGTAATTTATTGCGATAAAATTCTTGACATTTGCAACAATGCATCAAAATTAAAATAAGGTGAAATAATATGATTAATTAAGATCTTTTTCAAATTTGTCAAAGATTTATGAAACAATTTCTGACGTGAAAATTATTTTCGTTTGATTACACGTTTACTTTCACGCTTCGATGCGATAGTCGTAAATCTTTTGGGATATTTTCTAGTCTCTAAAGCACACCACATCCTTCATTACTCTCACGTAATAGGTCACACAGAAGTCTACGTTACATAATTATGTTCTCACGCTGTGCTTTTCATGTAAAAAAGCATCGATTTCAACAGAATGATATAACACGCATAATTTTTTTAACAACGAGGAAAAACTTATAAAAAAAATACTTTTATAAAAATTTTGTACAAAATCGATATTAACAAATGCAGTAAAGAGGGATAATAAAAATGTACAGATTAATTTTATAAATTAAGTTATATTTAAATTTAAACATGGTTCCATCCATCAGATTAAAGTATTATAATAAAATAAGTAATTTTTATTATTTTGCAGCGAATGATGTTACCATTTAGAGACGAAGCAGTGATCGTAAGTTCAAGAACAGGCTCTTCTAATTTATGGTTTTATCTCAGCATCGAATTTATAATTGGTGCTATCATCTCTGGTTTCTTAATTATACTTGGATTAGTAAAATCCTTCCTGCCAAAACGACCTAGGGATTTAACCGGCGATGTAGTTTTGGTAAGATGTATACTTTTTTTATGTATATATTTATGCACATTAAAAGAAAGAATAAATTTAATTATTCGATTAATTTAATATAGAAATTAAATATAATATATAATAATTGTTATTTTATTTTAACTACGGAATTAGATAATATGATTAAAAATTAAATAATCTCGAAAACAAAAAAATAGTATTTTCTTACAATTAGTAGACAAAAATTTCTTACGGCAGATTGCTGGTGCTTCATCAACACTCGGCGCATCGCTCGTCGAGGAATTCGCGAAGAATGGATGTTCTGTGATTTGCATAGATAACGATCTCAGATTTGTGGAGGAGATAACTAGAAGGCTGAAATTGCAGAGTAACAAGATTGAGTTGACTTGTAACAAGGTAGAAGAAATCGGACTCAACTATAGAAAATACAGGTCGGAGAATACAGAGTCTACAATAGCGGCGTATAAGTGTGATTTATTGAATCGTAATGCGATCCGCAAGATCGCTAAGAAGGTCGAGGATGAAGTCGGTGGCATCGATGTGTTAGTGACCTGCGTTGGACAATCTAATCGGGATATCTTCGATGTAGCTAGCACAACTCTCATGAGCCATTACTGGGTAAATGTTAGCTAATGTATGTGTCCTTGAATCTTGATCGCGTCACGCAACGTTAAATTGCGGTTGCAATCGGTCGTTAACATTGCAATATTTACAAATATATACATTTACCTGAGATAATCTCGACCTCCAATCTCTTTTTAAATGTTATTTTTTATCAATATTGAGAAAATCCATTTTAATTAATTTCTGTTATTTTTTTTTATTATTACAGACAATGCTGGCATTTTTGCCGTCCCTTCTACGACGCGATAGAGCGCACATTATCGGAATTACGCCAGTTGCATCCAATCAGGATGCGTACTCCAGTTCAAGGGTGGCGATTGCCGGTGAGTAGTCGGTCATTAAAGTCGCTCATTAAATCACACACAGTAATAATAAACATCGCGTCTGTTAATATTACGCGTGATTTATTTACATGTAGGACTGATGGAAAGCTTGGGTCAAGAATTAAGCAATCATAATAATAATCTTACCTTCCTCGCAATTTCGCCGATGGTGATGCGCAGGTGAGATTTTTCATGGGAAAAGAAAGAATTTTAGTTTTTGCCGTTTGATACAATCTTTGTTAATTAATATTAATTAATATTTATTGTATAGTAATTTGATAAGACAAAAAGAGCAAGAAGTAGCCAAGGAAGTCATACAGGCAGTCAGCATGGGCAGTCAGGAATATAGTTTTATTATTGTTTGGTGTTTAAAACTGTATAAAATCTGGTAAGCGGAAATGTAACTGAAGATTAGTTGTAAGATTAGTTGTAACTGAAGTAACTGAAGATGATACTTGTGGTTAGTATTTATGATCACAAAATGTTGAACATTATACAGAATGAATATTTTAGATAAAAATTCAGCCTTAAACATTAATAATGGCTTGTGAAAATATTTATACGATAGAAACATATGATAAAAAAAGAATGGAATTTTATCTTTTTGCAGCTTATAGTTTATTTTATAAAAAAATTATACTTTATTTAATGATACGTACAATATTAATATCATTAATTTATAATAAATCTTAATATATAATAATAATCTTATCATAATATTTTATTTATATTTCCATGCTTTTTTTGTTTCACTAGTATACCAACATTTGTGTCTCGTTACATTGTGTAATAGATCTAGATTAGATTGTTAATATATAGATTTTAGTTAACTTTATATGATCTTATATTTCAGTTGTGGGATCTGTAATGCACTAATAGCTTGCTACACAGTACCTTTCCACACGAGGGGGTGAATCTTTTTAAATTCTGTTCCTGCTCATGAAGCGTGAAGCATTCCAAAGTCGGCCTCCGACATGAGTGTGGGAATTCGCATCTTCCGTTGGCGAATTTTAGACAGCAAGTTTCAATGATTCCTCGAAATGCATGCAGTGAATAGTATAGCAAATAGTTCTTAAGAATTGAAAAATTAGGTAGCTAGACTTATTTTAATATCTCTATTAATCATTTACGTAAATAAGTATTTTTGTAATTTTTTAAGGAAAATATAATTTTTTGTAAAATAATTTATTTTTATATATTTTATCTTTATCACACATCAAACTACACAATTATATAATATCAGGAATCTCATGTATCTTTTCTTCTCTCTTCCTCTATTATTCTACACTCGTTATAATCATTTGTATCATTTAATAAACTTGAGCATCAAACAAGTAAATCGCACATTCTACCTTCACATATATAAAATATTTTTAATTAAAATTGAAACTTACATTTATTTTCTCCAAATTTTTTTTATGTATTTTTTATTATAATATAATATAAAATATGTTTACAAAGTGCAAAATATTACAAAGAATGTCGAAGAAAATTAATAAGGCAAAAAAATTGTATACAAATACTCGCAATTTTACTGTATTTAATTTATTGGCTTCTATAGATAAAGACTTGACAGTGAGTCGGGTAACAGCAAGTCATAATGACCGTTTTCGGAGCATCCGGTAAACAGAAGCCGTGCGGTCTCGTAGTTGGCATTCACGTGATTGTGGAAAACTAGCTCGAGCTCGTATCTGCCGACGAGTTCGCGATAGATTGAGAGATTCATGCGATGAAGTTTGGTAGCCACCGTGCACTCTAATTCGCTGGCGAACGTGCCTACTAGACTCATGTAATCATAATACTCTTGACTATCCGAAATATTCCACTCGGCCATTACAAATGGACCATATTCGTGCCAATTGTCTTTAACATGCCGCACAACCTGCCAAACGACCCATGGCTCTTACACGCGTCGTTATTTATCAATAACCATGTATATTTCTGTCGCATTCAAACTCGTAAAAAAACAACACCTAAGAGATAGTAATAGCCTCTATTGTCAATAGACGATTTCACTATTAAACTATTAAATCTGAATCATGTTGCAAAACAATTTTATTTTTTAATACGTAACGATGGATTTCTCGACGATTCTCCATATCAATATGTATAGCAAATTTTGTTTATATATTATTATGATATTTATATTAATTATATAAACTGACCATAGCTCGGAGCGATTGATGCTCTGCCTCATTCCGCCACAAAATGTAGCTAATTGCTCTGAACATGCAATTGCCATCTCCGTATATCTTGTGCACGCGAAACGTGCCCTCGTTACACCTTAATAGAGCCGTATCTATGAAGAATCCAATGTGTAAATTAAT